TTCAGACACTTTACGACATTGAGGTGAGTTACCTTCCAGTAGGAGTGGGTCTACGGCCACAATGTCGGCTCGCTAGTCGGAGTTGTTTGATTAGATGATTGCCTTTGTGATAATTGTTTGGGTTGCCGCTATCTGATATGCTTATGTTCTAGGATGCTATGATATATGTGTTAGTAGTAGTAGGGGTGAAATAGTCATCGGTTACCGGTTGAAAGATACCGAAGGGGTAGACAGTGCCCATGCATGCCTAGTAGTATGTTCATGATACGTTATTATATAGTAGTAGTAGGGGTGAACTAGTCCCCAGTTACCGGTTGAAAGATACCGAAGTGGTAGACATTGCCTATGCATGCCTAACAGTATGTTCATGATATGTTATTATATGGTAGTGGTAGGGGGTGAAATAGTCCCCGATTATCGGTTGAAAGATACCGAAGGGGAGGTCAGCTCCCAGTTACCGGTTGAAAGATACCAAAGGGAGGTCAACTCCCGGCTACCGGTTGAAAGATACCGAAGGGAAGTCCAGCTTCCGATTATGCCAGTCAGATACCGGTTGAAAGATACCGAGGGATAGGCAGTATATGCTTATGGTATGTGGTATGATGGAGGAACTCACTAAGCTTCGTGCTTACAGTTTTCAGTTTTGTTTCAGCTACCTCTTCAGCGAAGGGGAAGGAGCCGGCACGGTAGCAGCGCATCGCACACATATGATTTCCGCATTTTGAGATCCATAGGATTGTACTATGACATTTATTACTATTTTGATGATATGGTTTGAGACACGTGACTATGTTTTATGAAATGATATGAACCAATGCTGTTTTTCAGTAAATTGTTTTACAAGTCTCTTAATTAAAAATGAAATTTTTGGCCTTGAAAATTGGGATGTTACAGTATTGAAAAGAAAGTAGTAGTTTAAAAAAATGTAGAAGAGTTATATTTGAGTTATCCCACACCGGTGGGTGAGAAAGAAATAAAAGGTACACTAAGCCTATAAAATGGAGCCCAACAACGCTTAGAAGACCAAGCCAAATAACGTTTTAGCCGGCTGGCTCTTTAGAGTCTACTTGCTTGTTTTGAGCTGGATATAAGAAAAACAATATTTTATTCAATAAACCGGTTTTAATTCCGGTTGAACCAGCTCGGTTTTTTCCGGTTCACAATACAGGCGGTTTTTAAGAGATAAAATACCGGTAACCTCATAGGTTCCCGGTTGAACTGGCCGGTTCGGTTCGGTTTTCAAAATATTGCTCATGAGACATCTCTTGAATGATGAAGTGGGCCACAGAAAATCAATTATGAGCTCGTTGATCTCATGAGGTTTTTCTTGATTGATGAAGTGGGCCACGCTTTCCATCACAACAACTTTTTACTTTTTAATGAGAAATCTAAATGAAAGCCTTCCATCACAATAACTTTTTACTTTTTAATGGGAAATCTAAATGAAAGTTATAGTAGACTCAAATACGAACACATGTATATAAAGATTGTTACAATTCGAGATCATATGAAGAAGTTACGACGTTCAGAACACATGAACTAAGTCAAACCACAAGAGCTAAGCAACCAAGCAACTGAGGCCGCTGTGGCAAGAAGCATTAACAACTCCGAACACCTCATTAATTATTGTCCCACGTAGGATGCCGTGAACAAAACCTGAAAAAAACGGTCATAAATACTGAATGTGTACAAAAACAACAATGATTGATTTTGCAACAAAAAATACAAGGACTAAATGTGTACAAATTGAGAAATATATTACCCTACTATGTCATTTTTTTCGACTTACATTGAGTAACCGGTTATAAGGACTAAATGTGTATAATTTAAACAAGTTGAAATGGTAAATATAGACAAAAAGAACTTAAAAATTAAATGTGTACAAATCGAAAAATATATTATATTTTAAGTCATTATCTATTTTTTTATTGTATTCCATATACGACAAAAGGCTAAGTTGGCCCCGATTATGATACACCAAAATATGATCCGAAATCCTTCTTTTTATATTAAAGTTTTGATAATATTAGATATATGAAAAGTGAAACCAAAACCTCAGTGTCAACTTTTGTCTTTTTCTTTCCTTTGATAAGAATGTCATGCCTACTTTTAATTTCCTAGCAATGTGGGATAGCAATCTCTTCCTCTTCTATGTCTTCGGTTTTCACGACATTTGATTTCTTTTTGTATCACCCTTTTAAATGTGTAACTTTTCCCATTACTCTTAGGACATCTATAATGGCAAGTTAATGGAAGAATTGAACGAGATGACAAATCTATTTGTCTTTCAATGAATTGAAGTATACCATAATGAGATGTCACATTGATATTCAATTGATTTGAAGTTCAATGGTCACCGAACATTTCAATGCAAAAAAGAAATTTTTTTATTTCTTAAATATATACTATAAATTAACTTTTGTAATTTCTTATTGAAATTTGTAGATTTCAATGCATTGTAGAACAAAACATATAAAGTTTTATGGAATAAAAAAAATGATAAGACAATCCATTGACCTTTATGAAGTTCAATCCATTGTGGATGTCCTTATACAATATCAATGTTTACTTCACTTGTTCTACAACTTTGGCTTTGTAACCATATTGATGTGGTCTTTTCTTATAAAAACAAGCTTTCTTTCTCAAAGTTTCGAGGATTCTCTCCCTACTATTTTTAGCTTTTAGTAGTGTTGAAGACTACAACTAGTTTAAAACTTTTAAAATTTTGGTAAGCCGAATTAATAGAGGGATATTTGAATATTAGTTAAAAATAAAAAGTTCACATAGTCAATGCAAAAATGAGATTATGAAGTAAGAGCTTTCATATTACATAGTTCCATGAGAGAGTTGAATGAAGTGACATGACTATTAGACATGACTAATAATTCCATTGCATATTGAGGAATGTCACGTTGGGATTCAGTAAATATGAAATTCAATGACCATTGAACTCTTCAATGGAAAAAAAAACATTATTATTATTAAAATTATATTTCATTAAACCTTGAAAAACTCAATGCATTATAAAAAAATTAATATAAAATTTGTATAGAAAAGAAAATGATGATGTGTGAGTCTATTAAACTTTAATAAGTTCAATACATTGTGATACCCTAAACCACACATATTGTATAACATGAAAAATAAAAGATGGGTCTCAAGATAGTATTTCCCAAATTATTAAAACCCGACATATAAGAGCCATGGATCTTGGTTTAGCGCCCATATCGGCGGTTGGGTTAAGATGATCTAGCAAATCAGAATTTCTGCAAAAACTCAATTATGTGTTTGTTAATCTCATCAGGCTTCTCTTGGTTGATAAAATGGGCTGCACCTTCCATCACCACCACCTCCTCCAACAAAGGAACATCCTTCTGAAACCCACCATTATGTATATAGTCCTTAACCCCAGGCATGTGATACACCAAGTCTTGGTCTCCGGTGATGAATTTTGAGGGGACTGTCACTTTGGCACCACTCCATGATGCACTGAGTTCCCAGTTCCTGTCATGGTACAATCAATTACAGGGTAAATGTAACCATGGATTCTCACTTCTCACATAAATTACACATCAATATTAGGAAACAAACTGGAGTGAAGGGGAACTTACAAAGGAAGGACTCGATAGTAATTAACTCCACCAGAAAAACCCGTCTTCTCGAGTTTGCTAGCAAAGTATTCAACATCTTCTTCTGACAACCAAGGTGGCAAGGTAACTGGGGCATCGATAGGGGAATGCTTAAATCCTTTACCTTTAGGAATATAAATTGGTCCTGGTTCTCGAAATGTCAACAACTTTTTCACAACAGTTTTAGTATCCATTACAGCTAACTCGGCTTCAATTTCTCCAGGTACCTATATATATATATATATATATATATATATATATATATATATATATATA